AGGATCAATAAAACAAAGAGCTGGTTTTTCAAAAAGATAAACAAGATTGATGGATAAACAAGCTAGACTCACCAAGAAACAAAAAGAGAACCCAAATACATCAAATCAGAAATGAAAGAGGAGAAGGAACAACTGACACAACAGAAATACAAAGGATTTTTAACAAATACTACGAACAATTATACGGCAACAAATTGGACAATCTAAGCGAAATAGACAAATTTCTAGGAACACACAGTCTCCCAAAAGTGGACCGGGAAGAGATAGAAAACTTGAACAGACCAATAAAAACAAAAGAAGTTGAAGATGTAATCAAGACTGTCCAAGGAAACAAGAGTCGAGGCCCAGATGGCTTCATGGAGGAGTTTTGCTAAACATTCAAAGAAGAACTAATACCCATTCTCCTCAAACTATTCCAAATAATTCATGAAGAAGAAAGACTCCCAAACTCATTTTATGAGGCCAGCATAATTCTAATTCCAAAACCATAAAAAGACATTACAAAGAAAGAAAACTACAGGCCAATATTCCTGATGAACATACATGCCAAAATCCTGAACAAAATACTAGCAAATCGAATCTAACAATACATTAAAAAAATTATTCACCATGACCAAGTGGAATTCATCCCAGGGATGTAAGGCTGGTACAATATTTGCAAATCAATAAATGTGACACACCACAAAAACAAAATGAAAGATAAAAACCATATGATCATATTAATAGATGCTGAAAAAGCATTCGATAAAATCTAGCACCCATTTCTGATAAAAACGCTTACCAATGTGAGAATACAGGAATCATATCTCGACATAATAAAGGCCATATATAAAAAACCTACAGCCAACATCATACACAATGGGCAATAACTAAAAGCATTTCCCTTAAGAACAGGAACAAGACAGGGATGCCCACTTTCGCCACTCTTTTAAACATAGTACTGGACGTCTTAGCCCCAGCAATCAGAGAAGAAGAAAAAACAAAAGGGATCCAAATTGGAAAGGAGGAAGTGAAATTGTCATTATTTGCAGATAACATGATATTATACAAAGAAAATCCTAAAGACTTTATAAAATATCTGCTAAATTTAATAAATGAATTTGGCAAGGTAGCAGAATACAAAATTAACATCAAGAAATCGATGGCAGCCCTGGCCGGTTTGGCTCGCGATTAGAGAGTTGGCCCCCAAACCAGAGAGTCCCAGGTTCAGTTCCCACTAAAGGCACGTACCTCGGTTGCAGTTTGTGTTCAGCCCGGGTTGAGGTCACACACGGTGGCAGCCACTCAATGTGTCGCTCTCACATCAATGTTTCTCTCTCTCTTTCCTTCCCACTCTATCTAAAGATAAATGTAAAAATGTCCTCTGGTGAGGATAAAAAATAAAAATAAAACAAAAAAAAGAAATCAATGGCATTCTTACACACAATAATGAACTCACAGAAAGCAAACTAAAAAACAATCCTATTTACCATTTCAACAAAAAAATTAAGATACCTAGGAATAAACTTAACCAATGAAGTAAAGGACCTATTTGCAGAAAACTATACGACACTGAAAAAAGAAATAGATGAAGATATAAAAAAGTGTGAGCACATACCTTGTTCATGGATTGGAAGAATTAACATCATTAAAATGTCCATACTACCCAAAGCAATCTATAGATTCAATGCAATCCCCATCAAAATACCAATGACATACTTCATAGAACTAGAACAAATACTTCAAAAGTTCATATGGAACAAAGAAAGACTCCATATATCCTCAGCAATCTTGAAAAAGGACAAAGTAGGTGGGTTCACAATACTGGATATCAGGTTATACTACAAAGCTACTGTAATCAAAACAGCCTGGTACTGGCACAAGAACAGGCATATAGATCAATGGAATAGAACAGAGAATCCAGAAATTGACCCAAGACAATATGCTCAATTAATATTTGACAAACATGGCAAGAGCATACAAAGGAGTAAAGACAGCCTCTTTCATAAATGGTGTTGGGAAAATTGGACAACCACATGCAAAAAATAAATAAAAGAAAGAAACTAGACCATCAACTTACATCATACACAAAAATAAATTAAAAATGGATAAAAGAGTTAAATGTGACTCATGAATTCATAAAAATCCTAGAAGAAAACATAGACAACAAAATTTCAGACATCATGTGCAGCAGAATTTTCACTGATACATCACCTAAGGCAAGAGAAACAAAGGAAAAAATGAACACATGGGACTACATCAAACTAAAAAGCTTCTGCACAGCAAAAGAGATAACCATCAAAATGGAAAGGGAACCTACTGTATGGGAGGGCATAATTGCCAATGATACATCAGATAAGGGGTTAATTTCCAAAATATATAGAGAACTCATACAACTCAACAAAAGGTAGACAAAGAACCCAATTAAAAAATAGGCAGACGAGCAGCCATGTAGATAAAATCACAAATATAGAATTCATTAGATTGACTAGAATGTGGAGAAATGCTCTTCTGTTAGTAGAAGGCAAAGACCTACCTAAGCTGCATAATAAAATGCATTTACCAACAACAACAAAAATGGGAAGAGGAGTTAAATAGACACCTTTCCAAACAGGACATACAAATGGCCAAGAGACATATGAAAAAATGCTCAATGTCACTAATCATCAGAGAGATGCAAATTAAAACAATGATGAGGTATCACCTCACACCTGCCAGAATGGGTGCCATCAACATATCATCTAATAACAAGTGCTGGCGAGGGTGTGGAGAAAAGGGGACTCTAGCACACTGCTGGTGGGAATGCAGACTGGTGCAGCCACTATGGAAAACACTATGGTGTTTCCTCAAAAAATTAAAAATTGAATTGTCATTTGACCCAGTGATCCCACTTCTAAGAATATCTCCTAAGAAGCCTGAAACACCAATCAGAAGGAATATACGTACCCCTATGTTCATAGAAGCTCTATTTATAATTGCTAAGATCTGGAAACAGCCAAAGTGTCTATCAATAGATGAGTGGATATAAAAGCTGTGGTACATATATACAATGGAATACTATGCAGCTCTAAGAAAGAAAGATCTCTTACCCTTTGAGACAACATGGCGGGACTTCGAGAGTATTATGCTAAGCGAAATATGCCAATCAGAGAAAGACAAATACCACATGATCTCACTTATTTGTGGAATATAATGAACAATGTGGGCTGATGAACAAAATAGACCCAAAGGCATAGAAAGGAGTATAATTCAGATTGACAAACCTCAGAGTAGGGGGATGGAGGCAATGGGTGAAATGAACCAAAGAACTTATATGCTTGTATACATAACCAATAGACATAGACAACAATGCTAGGGGTTTGGAGGTATAGGGAGGAGGGTGTCTAGAGGGGGGAAAGGAGAAATATCTGTAACAAAAATAATAAAAATTGGAGGAAATAAATAAATATATATATTAAACAAGCAGGATTCAAATATATGATTTAGTAGTTAATGACATGATATGAAAAAGGGTAAAAATGTAAGAAAAATATAAGAAACACAAAAGTGAAAGGTTTGATAAATCTCTAATGATTAAAGTTTTAAGGAAAAAAGAGAGGACCCAAATTAAAAAAATGAGAATTGAAAGAGACACCACAGAAACACCGAGACTTCTAAGACTATATTGCAAACAACTCTTTGCCAACAAACTGGACAATCTGGAAGAAATGAATAAATTCCTATAAACACAGTCTTTCAAAACTGCATCAAGAAGAAATGGAAAATCTAAACAGACTGATTACAACTAATGAAATTGAAGCAATAACCAAACAACTTTTAATGATTGCAGTTTTAAGTCCACCAAGTACTTAAAAACTTTTAATAACATCGAGTCACTATATGTAGCTTCGTATTGAACACAAGTTCTTGTTTTTTTTTTCCAGAGTCTTTTCTCTGTTTCATTGTTATGATGTCTGACCCACAGTGGGAAGAGAATAAATGTGACCTCTAGAGGGGGAACTTTTTCACAAGCCTGGAAAGTAATAGCTTGGAAATTGTAAAGATCATGAGAATTTTAAAACTTTTCATGACTCTAAAGTCATGGAAGACTCTTCCAACTGCTGCACATATACATGTATTATTCCATTAGCCAAGATTTCTGTTACCCTAATGATTTGCCCAGATTACTACTCATTCTACAGGTTTCAACTCAGATGCCATTTTTTCCCCTCTAGAGGTCTCGTAAGGCCTCCCTAAACTCAATTCTTTCTTTATTTTTTTGTTGCAGCCAGTGCCGTATTCGTATTATAAATAATTCAATTTCTGCCAAATGTCTTTATGTGCTATATTAAATTAGTAGTGGCATTTTGAAAAATTGAGGATGTTTTTGTTGAGGAAAATTTTAGAAAATTTTCAAAACTAGCACATTTAGTGAACCCTTATATACCCTTTTCCCAACTTTAGGTATATTTAATTTTCAAATGTATTGTGTTTGAAGATTCTAAAAACCTTATTAGTTTCATATTTGTGAATATTAGTAAAAGCATATAAAAAAATAAAATATTAGTAAAAGCATAATTTAACATTTAATTCAACCATAGGTATTTTATTTTTTTATTAAGTTATTTTTGTTATAGATGTTTCTTCTTTTTCCCCCATTGACACCCTTCTTCCAGTCCCTCCCCCGCCCCCCACTCCATCCCCAGCTTTGTTGTCTATGTCCATCAGTTATGCATATATGCATATAAGTTCTGTGGTTTATCCCTTCCCTCCCTCCATCCTCTTCTGAGGATTGTTAGTCTATACCCTACTTCTATGACTCTGGCTCTATTTTGTTCATCAGTTCATCAGTTCATCAGCTTGTTTAGTTCATTATATTCCAGAAATAAGTGAGATTATGTGATAATTTGTCTTTCTCTGCTTGGTTTGTTTCACTTAGGATAATACTTTCCAGGTCCCTCCATGTCATCTCAAAAGATAAGAGATCTTTCTTTCTTACAGCTGCATAGTAACCTACTGTGTATATGTACCACAGCTTTTTTATCCATTCATCTACTGATGGATACTTGGGCTGTTTCCAGATCTTAGTTATTATAAATAGTGCTGCTATTATCAACCATAGGTATTATCAACAGTTTATTAAACTTAAAAATAATTTGTTTACCACTCAGTAATTTAAAAATTACTATAGAAGATAAATTCTTTAATTGTTTGCATGGCTGATGAGAAAATACTTAATGAATATTGCTGGCATTTTCTTCTGAATGTTTCTTCATGGAGAAAATTCGGGGAACGGAATTTCTGTTTTTCAGTCCATTATATTTTATAGACAATAAGTTCTTTACTTTATACAATCCTGTGCATACAGATGTATGTGTATGGAGTTGAACAGTTTTCTGTGTAACCTTTGAAACTTGAGCCGTAAACTGCACAGTCCCCATCTTCCATTTCAAGCAATGTGAGTCTAGGATAGAGACAAAAACAAATTACATTGATAATTTTATTAATGCAGAAAAAGAAAAATTAAATAATATTTAAATATGGGTACTGAAACAATAACATTTCAGGAGACTTAAGAATCAGGCCTTTCTTAATTTACAGATAAGCAAAATATAGCCAACTCAGATAAAAATTGCATCCTATTATAAATTGTGTGCTACTACTTTTAAACATTGGAAATTATTCAATTTACAAAGCCTAGAATCTCTTTATATGCGTACCCAATGAAATAAAAGCTTTAAAATGTTTTAAAACAAATATTTAGGTTAGAAATAAATTCAGAATTCAATGTCATGTTTTGTGAAAAACATACAATATTCTTCAGATATATGCAGTTTTACTTGGTAGGAAAAAAATTTTAAACTATGAAGTCCTTCAGTATATGTACACATACATAAGTGTGTGTGTGTATGTGTGTGTTTAGGTAATTCATGTAGAGATAATTATGTGCATATACCTATTTTACTCTGGGATCTTGAGTATTTATTAATGCTATAAATAGTGATTTGTTTTCTGCCAAGAACAAGTAGAACAAGTAGGAAAGATGAAGCTGAGGGAAAGAATGATGATGCTCCTTCAATATGAAATTGACACCAAAAAATGATACTACATATATTAGAAAGGACAAGATAGTTATTTCTTTCTATACAGAAACAACTAGCTGCTCTAAGAGAAAAAAATGAAGAGATTTTTTTCGTAACAGCCCTTAGTTGGTCTCAATCTATGCACATTAGAAGCTCATCCTTTCTAATTTCACTGTGTTCATGCGTTTCTTCAATTTCTGTATTCGTTTTCCCATTCCACTCCCATCACATTTCTGCTGGAGTACTGATCACATCACATTTCTGCCAGAGAACTGAGCACAAGGGATTTCACTTCTTTGTTCACAACTATATTTCTAATCGAAGTGTGAAGCTCCTGAAGGAGTTACGTTCTAGTCATCTCTGTAGTTATCTCTGCATAGTTTCTGGAAACTGAGTGGCACTCAACCGATATTTATTACATGCGTCATCAGAAATTTAGCATGCTAGTTGTTTTGCTTCAAAAATGAACTTTTCCACTTGCAGAGTGGGGAAAAAATGAGAAAAGATGATACCGAATCTTATTAGTATCTCCAGAAAATAAACTTTTCTAGGTCAAAAATTAAATCTCAAGCCATACGGAAATGAGGCCATCTCAGATAAATTCTAAGGTATACATGGACACATGAAACATTTCAGAAGATAGACCATAGCCTGGTGCACAAAACGCCATCTCAATAAATGCAAGTAGATTCAAGTCACAAAGTATGTTTTTTGATAAAGATGGAATTAGACTTAAATCACAGATAGATCACTAGGAAGTTCCCAAATGTTGGAAATAACACTACTGAAAATTTCATGGATCAAAAAACAAGGCAAAAGGGAATTTATAAACTATTTTGAACTGAATGAAAATAAATAGCTCATAATATGTGGGGATGTTGCCAAATCATCTCACATATTAATAGCATAAATTTTTCAATTAGAACAAAAAAAGGTTGTTTATCAATATACTAGTTTTTACCATAAGAAACTAAAGAAAAGTTAACCTTGAGTGAGAATATAGTAAATAAAGATCACAGCAGAAATCAATGAAATAGAAAACTGAAAAATGAATGGTAAACAAGCACAGAGAAGATGCTCAATATCATCCGTCATTAAGAAAATGCAAATTCACTACACACATTAGAATGGCTAAAATTTAGGAGACTAATTATAACAAGTATTGACCAAATATTGAGCAACCAGAAGTCTCACACACTGCTAGTGGGATTGTAAAATTGCACAACCCCTTTGGATAATAGTTAGGCAGTCTCTAAAAAGTTAAACATATACTAATTATATGATCCATCCATTCCACTCCTAGGTATTTATGTAAGAGAAAGGAGAGCCTATGTTCATACAAAGTCTTGCACATATAGCTAAGTGTCCCAAGTAGCTTTATTTTTAGTAGTCAAAAACTGGCAACTACCCAAATATCCATCAATATATGAGAGAATAAACATAACTGAGCAACACCCGAAAATGGAAAAGCTATCAGGAATGAAAAAAAAACAAACTCTTATACAGGCTATGAGGTGGCTAATCTTAAAATAATACACTGAGTAAAAAAGCCAGACAAAAAAACAGTACATACTCCAGGACTCCGTTTTGTTACTTTATAAATTACATACTCATCTATAGTGACAGAAAGCAGGTTAGTTGCCTGGAGACAGAAATGGGCATGAAGGAGGGATTATAAAGATAAAAAGGGAACATTTTGCAGGTGATAAATGTGTTAATTATCTTAATGTTATTAATGGTTTTGTGGATGTACACATTTGTGAGTTTTTGGCTGACTCTATTAGCATATGGGAATGGCCTGGCATTGTATGAAGGAAAATGTGATAGCTAAGTGTCACAGGAATAGCTTAGAGACAAATCCACAGCTAGAGACCTATTGGTGCAGACTTACTGTCTGGTAGAGTGATTGGAACCATCTTCCCACTGCCAGATTCCATTTGTTGAGTTTCTTATTAGTCCCATCCAATGATAGGACTTCACCAATTTTAAGAAATCCTGTTTGAAATCACAAATAAAGTCAGTGCTCAGAATTTTAGTGAAAACAAGGCCATACTCATTTAACCATTTTTCTTACAGTTGGGGAAAATGCATTCTGTCCTCTGGCAGAATTCCAACTTAAAAAACATATAATAACTTGCAATTTTTGTGCTTTCTTATTTTTAACTCAGAAGAATTTGGGGTGGTGTATTTGAGCCTAGTGCTTCTATTATATTTCAGATTCATATTCCAGAGAGTTGCCACATATGTTAGGACTAAATACAGACAGATGAATTTAAACAATACTAACCTGGTCCTCTTTGCTGTATATCTTCAGGAGACTGGAATTTTGAGACATACAAGAAGCTTGGCTCTGAAGCCAGCTTTTGCTCTCATCAAAAAATTGGTAGCAATTGTTTCTGTAATGTATCCAGTTTTTAGGACATGGACAGTATCTTTCTAGAAAGGGAGAATATGTTATTAATTCTGCACATGTCTGAACAGTATAGTAGATTTGGTCTAGGCAGGTTAAATACCTTTTTTATTCTAACTCTAAAATTCCAAACCATTATGATCATACCCAATGACATATCTCTACATATTTATAAATAGATAGATAGATAGATAGATAGATATGCCAAAACTGTGTTCTTTACTTTTTACAAGTACTCCCTCATTGTAAGAAATAAAATAAAATTTTAAAAGCTACAGTGAATTGTGGGCAATAATTATTTTTTATACTTTTTTGTATTAAATTTATTGGGGTGACTTTGATTAATACAATTATATAAGTTTCAAGTGTAGACTCCTATAATACATCATCTGTTTTAGACCGCTCGGCCACGCTACCTGCGTTATACATCATCTGTTTTATACATTTTCTTGTTAGCAGCATTGTATACATGCCTAAACCCCAGTATACACAGATAATGCAATTAGTGCTTCAAAATATTAGAAAACTTTCTCTTACCATTTAAAGAAACTTGAGCTTCTTGGTTGAATAATGCTATTAAAATAATCATAATTATTAGAAGGTTTTATATTGTAAGATAGTTTAAACAAGAATTTTAAAATAGTTGACACATTTCTAGACTAATAGCTAAAATATAAAGATACATTTATATTGCTAGTTTATGTTTCTGTGATTCTGAATATTAATCAAGTAATGTATTACAATCATTAGATCAACAATGCTATCTACTTCTCTGTTATCACTTACAGTTTACTATTAGGGCACTGTATATCATTATCATCACAATGAAATGAATTCCCATAGCTGCAGCAATGTACCGGGCGAGGAGAAATGGAGATGCTGTCGAAGAGAAAAGAGTGAGAAAAAGAATAAAAGGTTCTAGTATTTTTATGTTTAATATAAATATTAAGGTTTTTTTTTATGTGGGGGTGATATCATTGCTTTTTCCTTAATTATTTTTCTCAGGACAGGTAAAATAAGTACGTTGTAAATGATTAAAAAATAAAACTATAAAAATGTGATATTTCCTCCTATTTCTCTGCAGGTTCCCCAGAATAAATCATGGTTATCATTTTTTAAATTTTCCATTGTGATACAATGATAAATATGGACAGTGCCCCTTCCCTCCTTTTAAAAACATATATTTATGAATTATACAAAATATTCTATGATTTTATTTTACTTAAGAAAATATCCTAGTGATTATGCTAATCATGTTTTTATAAAGTCAAAATTTTATAAAGTTGTTTGCATTGTATTTTATTGGTATATGGACTAAAATGCTTTTAGTTTTTTCCATTGCATAGTTATTTATTTATTTATTATTTAATTAATTAATTTTTTTTGTTACAAATGTTTCTCCTTTTCCCCCCACTGGTTCCCCCCTCCACTCCCTCCCTGCCCTGTCCCCAGCTTTGTTGTCCATGTCCATTGTTCATGCATACATGCATTTAAGTTATGTGGTTTCTCTCCCCCATCACCCCCTTTTCTGGGGATTGTCAGTCTGTACCCCACTTCCACGTCTCTGAAACTACCCCATTCCTCAGACTGTTATGTTCATTATTTTCCACAAATAAGTGAGATGATATGATACTTGTCTCTCTCTGTTTGGCTTGTTTTACTTAGGATAATACTTTTCAGGTCCCTCCATGTCGTCTCGAAGAATAAGAGATCTTTCTTTCTTACAGCTGCATAGTACTTCATTGTGTATATGTACCACTGCTTTTTTATCCATTCGTCTACTGATGGACATTTGGGCTGTTTCCAGATCTTAGCTATTGTAAATAGTGCTGCTACAAACATGAGGTTACATATATTCTTTCTGATTGGTGTTTCAGGCTTCTTAGGGTATATTCCTAGAAGTGGGATCACTGGGTCAAATGGAAGTTCAATTTTTAATTTTTTGAGATAACACCATATTGTTTTCCATAGTGGCTGCACTAGTCTGCATTCCCACCAGCAGTGCACTAGAGTCCCCTTTTCTCCACACCCTCGCCAACACTTGTTGTTTGATGATTTTGTTGATGGCGGCCACTCTGACAGGTGTGAGGTGATACCTCATTGATGTTTTCATTTGCATGTCTCTGATGATTAGTGGTGTTGCATATTTAAAATGCTTCTTAGTTTTGACTAAGATATAATGTTATAAATAACATTTCATACACACCTGTGCATATTTGTGAGTAGCCCTCTAGGAAAAATACCCAAAACAATAATTACTGAGTCAAAGAACATTTGTTTTTTAAATTTTTGTAATAATTGAAAATTTCAGTCCAAAGAGGCTATAACAACTTATATTTTACCAAATATAGGTTTAAAAGCCTTGTTATTCACTTTCCTCTGCATTAAATACTATTCACATTTTAATGTATAAATCTGATGACCAATATTATTTTTAATATTTTAACTTTATTTTTCTTGTTATAAATAACAAGATAACAAAAGATTGAACATCTTTTATTATGGTTATGTTTCTATTTTATTTCTCTGAAACTTCTTGCATTTGTATTAATTTTCTTTTTCTTATTTTCAGATTAAATATATTAGTTCATTTCTTGCCATATATTTTGCAAATATTCATCCTAGATATTTTTGTTTTAACTTCATTTATGATATAAGGAGGTTCTTAAATAGATAATGGTTGACTTGCTCAAATCATTTTTTTTGTTGTTGTTAATCCTCACCCTAGGATATTTTTTCTATTGATTTTTAGAGAGAGCAGAAGGGAGGAGATGGTGGGGGGGGGGAGAAATATTGATGTGAGAGGGACACATTGATTGGTTTCTTCCTGCATGTGCCCTGGCTGGGGCTGGAGATGAAACCTGAAACCCAGACACTGGCCCTCGACTGGGAATTAAACCCTTGATCCTTCTGTGCACATGCTGATGCTCTAACCACTGAGATACGCCAGCCAGGGTTCATTAATCCTTTTTGATGTTAATAAAAATGCTTTCATTATTTTGAGTTTATAAATAAATCTCCCACCATAAGGTATATAGTTTCCTTTTTTTAAATTGGGTCTATTTGAGGTGCGTGTGTGTGTGTTATAAATTAGGTAGAAATTCACATTCATAAACAACTGTTTTTCCGAATGGTTACTGAATTTTTCTAACACTATTTCATAAATAAAAATCAAAGTGTTCTTATTGATATGAAATACTACCATTAATATAGAATACATTCTTATATGTGTTTACATTTATTCCTATATTCTCTGGTCTGTCTTTCTATTTAAACTATATGTAAAATATCCCTACTTATAATATACTTGAGTATTTATAGTAACCATAATATTGTATTACATTTCTTTTTGATAATATTTTATCTATCATTATACTTCATTATGCCTTAAGAACTTTAAAACAAATTTTTCATGAACATGCCACATTTAAAATATAGTATATTACTCAAAAAATTAAAAATTGAACTGCCATTTGACCCAGTGATCCCACTTCTAGGAATATACCCTAAGAAACCTAAAACACCAGTAAGAAAGAATATATGTACCCCATGTTTGTAGCAGCACTATTTACAATAGCCAAGATCTGGAAACAGCCCAAATGTCCATCAGTAGATGAATGGATAAAAAAGCAGTGGTACAGCCCTGGCCAGTTTGGCTCAGAGGTTAGAGCGTCTGCCTGCGGTCCGGAAAGACCCGGGTTCGGTTCCCGCTAAGGGCACGTACTTCGGTTGCAGTTTGTCCCCGGCCCTGGTTGGTCGTGCGGGTGGCAGCCACTCGATGTGTCCCTTCACATCGATGTTTCTCTCTCTCTCTCTCCTTCCCACTCTATCTGTACAAAAAATGGAAAAATATCCTCGGGTGAGGATAAAAAAAAAAAAAAAAGCAGTGGTACATATACACAATGGAGTACTATGCAGCTGTAAGAAAGAAAGATCTCTTATCCTTTGAGATGACATGGAGGGACCTGAAAAGTATTATCCTAAGCAAAACAAGCCAAACAGAGAGAAACAAGTATCATATCATCTCACTTATTTGTGGAAAATAATGAACATAACAGTCTGAGGAATGGGGTAGTCCCAGAGATATGGAAGTGGGGTACAGACTGACAATCCCCAGAAGAGGGGGTTGAGGGGGAGAGATAAACCACAGAACTTATATGCATGTATGCATGAACAATGGACATGGACAACAAAGCTGGAGACAGGACGGGGAAGGAAGAGGAGGGGAAAATCAGTGGGGGGGGGGGGGTGGAGAAACATCTGTAACAAAAATAAATAAATTTAACATATAAATAAATAAAAATAAAATAAAATATAGTACATTAGCCCAGCTGTGTGACTCACTTGGTTGAGCATTGTCCTATAAGGTTTTGGAATCAGTCCCCAGATCAATGTTTCTCTAACATATCGAAGTTTTGTTCTCTCACTCTCTCTTCCAAATCAATTTTAAATATATATATATATATATATATATATATATATATTTCAAGAGAATCACATTAAATATATACATATATAGATGACTTACATTTTTAAAATGTTGTCTTTTATTCTTGAATAGTTTTTTGTTTCTGTTATGTATGTCTTATTTTATGTTCATTAGTACAACTTTATGTAATAAATTTATTTCCAGTATTTTATTTGTATTTATTTTTGAATCCTCACCCGAGGATATATATTTTTTCCATTTATTTTCAGACAGAGTGGGAAGGAGAGAGAGAAAGAAATACTGAAGTGAGAAACACATGGACTGGTTGCCTCCTGCATGACCCTGATCAGGGCCAGGGACCAAACCACAACCAAGTTATGTGACCAGAACTTGACCAGAACTGAACCAGCGACTCTATTGGCCAGGGTTACTTCCAGTATTTTATTTATTTTTTATCCTCACCTGAGGACATTTTTCCATTTTTCGTTCAGATAGAGTGGGAGAGAGAGGAAGAGAGAGAGAGAGAGAGAAACATCGATGTGAAAGAGACACATAGAGTGGCTGCCTCCCACACGACCCAACCAGGGCCAGGGACAAACTGCAACCGAGGTACGTGCCCTTAGTGGGGACCGAACCTGGGTCTCTCTGGACCACAGGCCGACACTCTAACCACTCAGCCAAACCGGCTAGGGCTATTTCCAATATTTTTAATTCAATCATTTATTTCTGATTTTTGGTTTTATAAATATGGCATTTTCTTTTTATCATATTTTCCTTGTTTTTGTAGTTTTGTAGACAGTTGATTTTATATATTACTTCTAATTAACTCCAAACGTCAGATTTCCTTATTGTTTGTAAGCTTGGGGGTGAAGTTTTAGAGGGTTTTAAAAATATTTTAAATCATATATTTTTGCTAATCATGTTAATTTTGACTTTTTATTCTAATTTCAGGTCATTTGCTTTTTTTCTTTTCTTGGTTATTTATGTTGTCAAGCATCAGCAAAACAATCAATATAATCATTAATAATGATAATAACAATTCTTTCCTATTTCTAACTATAATGAAAATGCTGTTAGCATTTATCAATAAGCATAGTGATAGCTTTTGGACATATATTTTAAAGGTGGTATTTATATTTTAGAGGTTTTAAAAGTGAAGTTCTTTTACATTAAGAATTCATATTGAGCCCTGGCTGGTGTGCCTCAGTTGGTAGGTGTCATCTCATGCACCAAAATGTGGCCAGTTGGTTCCCGGTTAGGGCATGTGCCTGGTTTGTGGGCTTGATCCCAGGTAGGGGACCTGCAGGAGGCAGCCAATATATGTTTCACGCTCACATCGATGTTTTTCTCTCTCTTCTTTCCTCTCTCTAAAAATCAATTTAAAAACTCTTTAAAAAAAGATTTCATATTGATTTTTTTACCCCAAACCTTTTCAACATTATGCATATGATCTATGATCCTTGATTATTACATCTAACACATTTTCATTCCTATAATTAACTCTTGAAAGCAATACTATTTGATAATAATTTATTTTTAACATTTAATCAAAATGTATAAGTGAGAGTGGTCTGTTGTTTTCCTTCTTGTGTAAACTGTTTCAGGCTTTATTTTCGATTGTATTCTGCCTTGATAAAAACAAGCACATCTTCACTATGCAGAGGCCCTTCTGTGAACAGCAGTCAAGTCACTGCTGTCATGCTGTTTAAAGACATAACACGGTGTAGGATATTTTATATTTCTTTTCTCTTTTGTTTTTGTTGTTGTTGTTTTTGTTTTTGTTTTTTTTATCATCCTCCCCCAAGGACATTTTCCCATTCTTTGTTCAGGTAGAGTAGGAGGGAGAGAGAGAAACATCGATGTGAAAGGGACACATGGAGTGGCTGCCACCTGCACAACCAACCAGGGCCGGGGACAAACTGCAACCGAAGTACGTGCCCTTAGCGGGAACTGAACCTGGGTCTCTCTGGACCGCAGGCCGATGCTCTAACTGCTGAGCCAAACTGGCCAGGGCTCTCTTTTGCTTTTCATTACTATTTACTCCTCCTCCTAACAAGCTGTTCAGTGATCTCTTAGTAATTGCTGTCTCAATTGTCATTGTTAGGATAATCTCATCATTTTAGGGCATGAAATGATCCTAAACTCAATGTTTTTTTCTCATTTTATGATATAGTCCAATATTATATGAGAATTAATCTCATTTCTGCTTTTCTCGTGAAGGTAAAATAAACTGAATATTTATCACTGATTATCCCATAGTTTCCGATTTCCACCTCAAGATGATGAATGGAACATATTACTCACGGTTTTCCCAACAGGTGTTTGTGGTTAATGTGGGTCTTTTCCTTTGTGTAGAAGCAACATGATTTATGAGTTTACGTTTTGAATTATGAAATTCACAGCTCTCTGGAGAAAAACAGTTCAGGCCAATATGAGTTATGACCTTCCTGCCACTTGAATCATAAATTTTTTAAACTTTAATATGTCATTTCTATCTTTTTTCGTTTAAGGTATAACATCAAGTTGCTTTTGTTTTATATTACTTCATTATTATGATTTTTACACTTTGTAGTATAAATAAAATTAGATTTATTCTATAGTAAAACAACTTTAGCAAAATCCCATATATTATTAATATGAGTTCATTTTTTTCTTTTTTTATCCTCACCCGAGGACACTTTTCCATTTTTTGTTCAGATAGAGTGGGAGGGAGAGAGAGAAAGAGAGAGAGAGAGAAACATCGACGTGGAAGGTACACATCGAGTGGCTGCCACCCGCACGACCAACCAGGGCCGGGGACAAACTGCAACCAAGGTACGTGGCCTTAGCAGAAACCGAACCCGGGTCTCTCTGGACCGCAGGCCGATGCTCTAACCACTGAGCCAAACCGGCCAGGGCAATATGAGTTCATTCTTAATGTGGATAAAATCTAACATTAAAATACAGATGCTGTGTAGTGAAAAAGACAGGGCCTTAATTGGGAAGTTAGACGTGTTTAATTTACAGAGGCTCATTTACTAAGTACATAACTTCACAAACTGAACAAAAATGAAAAAAGCGAAAGAAGGAACAAAGGCTGTTACAACAACCTTGAATGGCTTATTTTAAAAGTGAAATAAAATAATATGAACCTAGTGTCAGTCACATGAGAAATAGTAAAGGCTATTGTGTCTAATTTTCTTCATAGTGAAGGACACACAAAGAAAAAAATAGTATAGTCTACAATTTAGGATAAAGACAAATAAAGCGTCTTGTTTAAACAAAAAAGTAACTCTTCTTGAAATAGTAAAATTTACTAAATACGTAAAAGTCTTTTATAAATGAAATGTTAACGTTAATTACCTTTTATACCAAAAATTAAATAAAAAAATTGTACATACAACATGTAATTTAATTATTAAACATATGAAGAGGGGAAGTATTATTTTATAAATGAAGAAATTGAATCTCAGAGATGGTCAATGCTGTATTGCATATTTAATATAATACTATCAACTGTGAGTAATTTATAACACTTTTAGTTTTAGAAACACTTTCAAATATATGTCCTTTTATTTGAATATCATGGAAATCCACTAAGGTAAATATCACACGTTTTATATCTCTACTTCACAGAAAAGAAAATAAGCACATAGAGGCTGTGAATTGCCCCAGATCTCAAAACGAGAGACAGGTAAAAGCTAGATTAAAATTCAGTTCTTCTACCTCTAAATTCTGATGCTGTCCTATTTCAGGCTGCCTCACTGTGAGAGAGTTTCTTTTAGGTAGCTAATGAAGTAAAAGTGGGAAAAGTCTTTCAGGTTTTTGAGACTTGATTTAAAATATAACATTAACAATGTGAAATGAACATAAAATTAACACAAGTCAATCAGAATAAATCCAAAGCCTTACATACTTGTATCAAATCCTGGGCACATTGAAATTATATACAAGCCAAACTACATGTTGATGTGGAAGTACATACCCATGCTGTGTTGAACCCACTGATCTCCGGCCAATCTCATCATATAAATGCTTATCTATCACAGAGATTAATCCAAAGTGGTCATTTTACAGAGGTTCCTGAATAAAATAAAATCACACATTTGTTTATTTACTTTCTGTTTTCTTTCTGTGTGGTGAGATGATCTATTTTGATTGGAAAAATGAGAATATAGAAAAATTTTCCTCATGCATATATAAAAAAAGAAAAGAATAAAAATGAGAATTCATATAAAACAATGTAAAATTATTTTTAAAAATTACTTTGGCTACAAAATAATAATTATTTTTTAAAATGTAAAAATAGCCCTGGCCGGTTTGGCTCAGCGGTTAGAGCGTCGGCCTGCGGTCCCGAGAGACCCGGGTTCGGTTCCCGCTAAGGGCATGTACCTCGGTTGCAGTTTGTCCCCGGCTCTGGTCAGTCGTGAGGGTGGCAGCCACTCAATGTGTCCTTTCACGTCGATGTTTCTCTCTCTCTCTGTTCCTCTCTTCCCCTCCTACTCTACCTGAACAAAAAAATGGAAAAATGTCCTCGGGTGAGGATAAAAAAAAAAAATAATAATAATAATAATAAAATGTAAAAATATACAATGAGTTCTTTTAAATTCACCTACCTTAAGATACTTAATTAAAAATGTTCCCATCACTGATATTGCATAACAATACACATAGTTTCCTATTTATAGTTGTTTTATTTTATTTGGTGATAATTGCTTTCTTTGCAAGGTAAATTTGGATAAGATATATAGAAGAATTTTTGTTGAATGTTTTTTCTTAGTACATTTTAATTCAACCTCTGTCCATATCATCATCATCTTCATTTACAAGAAATTATTATCAGCATTGTCATTAATAAAAATAACCTCACATTTGTTTATATAGTAACATTTTCAGTGTCTAGCAGAGCTCTCAGAAAAAAATTGATATTTAATAAATATGTATAGTGCTTAAATTTTCAAAATAAAACCTGTTTCATATTTAAACATGATCATTGAAAGCAACAGATAGAATGTGTTTCATTTTGTAAGTAAAGTTGTGTGTTACATGAAGTGCCTTGCATAAGAACACAGAACTCATAAAGGTGAGAATTCAAACTGAAATTCAAATTGTATTCCCAAATGTAAAGATTCATTCTTCTAGTTTTGTTTAGAGAAAAGGCTCCAACTTACAGCAACATCATAACTTCTGGTTCTTAAATAAGTTTATCCTCATTATCTATCATTGAATAAAGTGAGAAAGAGTACATTCTTTGCCTTCAGTAATTCTATTAAGACACTTAAGAAACTATTAGAATTATCTTGTGTAAATATTTTTAGAAACTTTCTTGAGGTGCAAACTTCAAGAGGTCTTCACGTCTTGCATAGTAGTGGTAGAAACACACACAGAGACACAGACACATACCTTATCAGAGAAGGAACATCCTGCTTCTTGTGAAAAATTTAGACATGTCCTCTGTTCCAAATTTAAAATTGAAATAAATGTACACTCAATTCTAATCTCAGAGAAAAATATGACGAATGTTACTTTTATCTTACTTGCGTGTTGGAAACACAGCACAAACCACAGTATTTCCTTCCACCTCTTCACTACACAGAAGATTTTCTATTTGAAGACATGTGTTTTGTCCTAACATCATTTTATAACTTTAAAATGTTGAATTCAATGATCAAAAGTGTCCCAGGGTTATCATTATAACTTATACAAACTCTTCTCAACAGGAAGGGGGAAAGGAATGGTTGATATTTTTTTCACTAAAACAAGAATAACTTTGATACTCATTTTAGATGAGAATGTGTTCAGAAAGGAAAAGGAAAAGAAAAAGTCTATCTCCTTTATGAAAATTGTTGTAAAATCCCAAAACAATGCCAAACCAAATTAGTGTGTATAAAATTAATATAGATGACCAAATTGAGTTTATTTTAGGATTGTAACTTTTCTTTAAAAAAACATTTGTTAAATGCAATAAACAATAGATTAAAAACCGAAATAACTTGATTATATCAAGATGGAGAGCACATTTACTATAATTCAACACTTTTTCATAATAAAAACAATTTTCGTTTTCATGATAAAAACAAGTCTATTCATCCTAGGATCTATATCAGCTATTTTCAACCATTTTCATCTGTTGGCACACATAAACTAGTAACAAAATTCTGTGGCACACCAAAAAATATACTTTTTGCTATTCTGACAAAAAAAATAGGTATATTTTTGATTCATTCTCATCATAAGTTTATTGTGTTGGCTGCTGCTATTTTTTTAATTTGATAATCTAAGGGAAAAGAGGTCAGTGTCCCAGACTAAATAATCAAGTACTGCATGTTTTAAAAATTCTTGCAGCCCACCAGTGTGCCTGCTGCAACACATTAGTTGAAAATTGCTGACCTATATAAACATTATTCTTTCTTTTTTTTGGAGTACTTGTTTTTAAGGTGACTTGGTTAATAACATTACATAGGTTTTAAGTGTACACTTCTATGCTACATGGTCTGCGTGCTGCTTTGTGTGCCCAGGACCCCAAGTCAAATATCTTCTATCACCGTATATTTGGCCCCCTTTAGCCTTTACTCCCCCAACCCCTTTCCTCTTGTTACCACCACACTTGTTGTCTATGAGTTTCAGAATTACATCCCACATACGAGTGAAATCATATAGTTCTTAGTTTTTTCTGACTGACTTATTTCACTTAGCATGATATTCTTAAGGTCCATCCACGTTGTCCCAAATGGCAGTATTCCATCTTTTTTTATGGCTGAGTAGCATTTTATTGTATGTATATACCACATTTTCTTTATCCAGTCATCTATCAAAGGACACTTTCGTTGTTTTCGTGTTTTGGACACCATGAACAATGTTGTGAATGGCAGCATCATTCTTAACTTCAAAATATTAACAGGCTTTTTCAAAAATCCTGAAGACAAAGTGCTCACTAATACCACTTCTTTTCAATATTATTGAGAAGATTTTTTAGTGCTAAGACCACCACAGGAAATTAAAGACATAGAACTTCAATTCTTTTGCTGATGATATGTTTATTACATAGAAAATAAAAATAATTTAATGGTCAGTTAATAGAAATAATGTTAGTATAACTAAATGTAGCATTAGTTTGCAAAAACTATTATATTAGAGGTCAATAATAAACAGAAACAGTTTTAATATATCACTAACAACCACAACAGAAACACAGTAATTATGAGCAACAAATATATTTCTTTACTTTGTAAGTAATGTTGTGTATCATATACTGTTGCATAAGAACACAAAACTTATAAGGGTGAGAATTCAAATTCAAATTCAATTTTTATTTCCAAATGTAAAGATTCAGTCTTCTAGTTTTGTTTATATGTATGTGGAACTTATTATACAATGTTATAGAAGTATTTTCAAAAATAAATTTGGTAAGACCACTGAATCTAATAATGGTTTAATAATCCTAAAATATTTTAGAGAGTCAATTCAATTACAAATAATATCTCAGTTTTGTTATGAGCCTTACAAAGCAGAACCCTAAATGTTCACTAAACTACTAGAAGCCAGGGGTAGCTTTGAAGCAAAAGAAAAGGTGGAAGACTTGTCCTGCTAGATAGTAAGAACTCTGTTAAAGTGTTGTTAACTAAGAAAAAGTGAAATGAGAACACACGCAAAGTAACAAATTGAAAAAGAGAAGAGATACAGACATGAGAGAGTCAGATGTATAGAAAAGAAATGTATGAGGTAGCATTGCTGAAAAAGTAGAAAATGAGACACTATTAAATACTTAGTGCTGGGAAATTTTTATATCAATATAAAAATATAAAATTAGACCTCTACCATACATACATCATATACAGAAGTATTAAGGACTTAAATACACACTCTGGTGTGCATAAAAAAAGTAAATAGATGAGAGTTGATACCAATAAAAAAGATGGGTTTAGTAGACATTTTATTGATATTTATGTATTCAAAATATTGACATAAAATATAAAGTAAGATAAGAAAATAAAACATTATAAATTTTTAAGGAAAAGTGAAGTTCAACTCAACTTTCTTAAAAATATACTAAGAAAGGAAGGAAAGTCAATTTTGGTATGTTTCAACTTGCACAATAAACAAGTTTATTCAACACATATTTTTAGTGACTACCACTTGCTAGGTGCTTTTCTAGGCCTTGAAAATGTCAAAGTAATCAAAACAAAAGATCATGTATGGACACATGTAGGCATACATATGTTTTTATGTTTGTGTGCATATATATAAATATATATACATAAAAAACATCTTTCTATAGTTTCAACTTACAAGATACAGCATATTTGATTCCACTGTGTCATGAAAAGGCAGAAGGAAGTACTGTGGTTTGTGCTGTTTTTCCATTAGGAAAGTAAGATTAGAATAACGTTCATCACATTTTTCTCGGAGATCAAAGTGGACTATACATCTCTTGTTTCAGGTCTAAATTGGGAACTCAGGACATGTCTAAATTTTACATAAGAAGCAGGACACACAGGTGTGTGTGTGTGTGTGTGTTTCTAACAACTATTATTCTAAGAAATGACGACTTCTTGAGGTTTGAACATCAAGAAAGTTTCTAAAAAGATTTACACAAGATAATTCTAATTGTTAAGTGTTTTAATAGAATTACTAAAGGCAAAGAATGCTTATTACTTCCAAAGTGTACTATTTCTCAGTTTATTCAATGATAGATAATTAAAATGAACTTATTAAAGAATTAGACATTATTTATTATCTTTATTGGGATATAATTGACATATAACATATTAGTTTTAGGTGTGCAACATAATGTTTCTATATTTGTATATATTGAGAAAGGATCACCACAATAAGTCTAGTTAACATTCAGTTTTAAGGATTCTAAAAGAGACATATTCTGAGTCCAGACATTGAGCTAAAAAAATTAAAAGGGATTTCTGGTCAAGATGGCAGCGTAGGTAAACGCGGTATCACATCCTCCCACAACCACATCAAAATTACAACTAAACTACAGAACAACCATCATTCAGAGCCACCTGACATCAAGCTGAATGGAAGTCCTACAACTACGAAATTAAAGAAGAAAGCATGTGGAAACAGGTAGGAGGGGCAGAGGCACAGAAGAGGTGGTCCCACAGCCACATGTGGTGGATAAAAATCCAGAGGATACCTTGGCTGTGAAGGTCCTCCTGGAGGAGTGAGGGGTCTCCGTCTCACACCAGATTTCCAGTTCAAGTTTCCAGTGCCAGAAAAGAAGTTCCCATCACTTCTGGCTGTAAAAACCAATGGGAACTGAGACTGAGGGAGGCTGAGGCTCATGGAGCCCCAGGCAGTTCCTCTTAAAGGGCCCCCACACAGATTTACTTGGACTTGCATCCTCTGAGCTTCAGCGTGGAGGGGGGCAGTTTGAATGGCCTCAGAGATATATGAGAAAGAAGTGAGTTGTTTAGCATTGGGGCCAGAGCTGGAGGGGCAGCTTTTTCCTGGACAGACTTGTTGTTTCTTTGGAGAGCCCTTCCCCCACAAGATAGTCAGATGGGACTCCAGCAACCTGGCTCACGCTGTTTGCTCTGCCCTGGTGATTCTGTGAGGCCCCACCCAACTTTCTGACCCACCCAAGCTATTTTCAGGGGCTTAACCATAGGATAGGCTTGTCTTGCATCCTGCTTCAGATTTTCTTGAAATCACTCAAACAAGCAGCATCTAGTCTCAGCGAGCCCCATTCCTCTCATTAAGTGGCCCTAGGCTGGGCACAAAAAGTAGCCAGCCTTGGTTCACAACTTGACTTTTCCTGGGCACCTCCAAGCTCAGCACAAGAAGCAGCCAACTGCAGATCACTTTGTAGCTTATGCCTGGTGGCCCCAAGTAGAACACAGGCAGTGGCTGACCTTGCCCCAGAGCCAGCACACCCAATGGGCAGCTTCAGATCACATCGAAGCACCACCACCCAATCACACAGGGGACACACTCAATGAGTGGACTCAGCGGGTACCAGAGCACTGCTGAATTAAGTCTTGCTCTGTGTGGTGGGCCCCTGCACACGTGATCCTCCAAGTTAGACAGAGGCCAGTGGTCAATGGGCACAACCAATCCTTGCAGTTGATCAGCCTGAGTATATCCCTCCCATTGTCATGCCAACAGTAATCAAGTCTCAATTACAACAGAAGGGTGTACTGTCTACACTAGGGATGCACATCGAGGGCCCAGCTGGAGTGATCAGAGAGGCTGTCAGTGAAGCCTACAGGATACCTATAACAATATGCCACTCTACAAAGTCTAGGAGACATAACAACTCTACCTAATACATAGAAACAAACATAGGGAGGCAGCCAAATGAGGAGGCAAAGAAACATTTCCAAAATGAAAGAACAGAACAAAACTTCAGGAAAAGAATTAAACAAAATGGAGATAAGTAATCAATCAGATGCAGAGTTCAAAACACTGGTTATAAGGATGCTCAAGGAACTTAGAACTTCAAGAAACTTAGTGAGAACATCAACAACATT